TAACTGTGAAAAACACGAACTTCAGAACTAGAAGCTAATATAATGAATAAATTATACTCAATTTTTAATAAAAATCACACTAGTTCCAAAATAAATTATAGTAGAGATAACATATTTAAAATAGAGGATAAATCTAAATGTATTAATTCAACTTAGAGTGGCAGTAACAATACAGATTTGACCTATCAAAACCCCTCAATCAATGTCATTAGCAGTAGTAATCAAAAAGTTTTCTTTGATATAATTGAACATATCAAAGATAAGGATTATAAGGAAAACTATTTGAGGGAATTAAAAGATACAATTCTTAATCAAAAAATAAATAATCATATTTTTAAACCCGTTGGAAAGAACAATAGAGAAAAAAATTCTTAAACAACACTCTAAAATCTTCAAGCAGAATAAATACATGTAAAGAAAGAAATTAAAATAATTAAACAAAAACATAACACTTCAGAAGATATATCAACCAAAAGTCAAAGTTTACAGTTGGAATTAGAACCATTAACTCAAAAAATAAATTTAGGAGTCAATACTATTGCAACTTCTTCTTCCAGAATTAACATATTACTATGGAGTTACGGGACGGAATCTAAGTGAAGTTGGGCAGAATAATGGAAGGGACAAAAACAAAGCAAAAGCTTAAAACAAATGAAAAAAAAAGAATAAATGGAAGTATACAAAATTAAAACAAACCTTTATAATTTAAAACAAAAATTAAATAAACAAAATAGTAGTGAAAGTATATTTACAAAATAACTTTATTTATTTAGGGAATAGAGAGAGAACATGGAAGATAGGAGAATTGGAAATGATGGGGAAATGGGTGAATATGGTAGAGAGGTTTTTCAAAGTCGTGTGATTATGAATGCCTCTTACTGATACAAGTTGAAAGTCTTAAATAGGCCTCAAAAGTGTTGACTAGTCTTACTTATTATGCTATCTAATTTTATATGTGTGCATACACTAATACACATTTTTTATTTTACACGTAACGACTATATATTACAAATAATAATGATAATTATACGTGGCTTGATATACACATTATTTTCTTTTGCTTAAAATTTATCTTCAAAACATACATCTTGTTACTTTGTTCCTCAGTCACTTTGTGGCTTTTGACTTTATTGAAGATGATACATATTCTTATTACATTTTTCATTGGTATGTGAGGATGCATTGTCGAATAATTTCATTTTCTCTTCGTGATTGGTAGTTTTGTTGAGACTTGATAAAAAGTTTTTTAATCGTCTTTTTAACTCTTCTTTTGAAACCTCATATTTCTTTCGTGATGAAAAGTCGATAACGAATCTGTCATCATGATCTTTCGAAGTCCATCCTTTAAACTTGATAGTCTTCCTTTGTAACAACCCTAAAAAAGGGATATACTAAGTGATATTTAATGTGTCAAGAATGCCTATGATTAGACTAGGGTTCACACGCATTGATGCGCGTAGGACCAGACTTCGGAACCCATGCTTCATTCAATCTAACTAACTTGGGGAGTTAGCTGAGCTAGGAAAGGTTGGGTCCAACTATGTAGGGTTCTCGAATATGAATATTACTCGAACGAGTCTTTACCGGACTTAAAAAGAGGGGGTAAAATTGTCATTTTCCAAGATAAGGTTAATATCATAATTACCCTAAATATATAATTAATTGTTTCATTAATAAGGTGGAGGGGCAATTTTGGGAGAGAGAGCCAAAATTGAACTCTTGAAGTGACGTCTTGCTTAACCCGGGTTCGAAACTCGGTTGAAGCAATGAACTAATGTGATTTTTATTTAAGCTATTGAATTAATATAATTAATTAATAATAATTATTTATTTTCTGATTACAAATAAAATAAAAATATAATTTTTAATTATTAAGAAAACCTTATTTGACTAAGTCCTAAACTAGAATCCTAAGCCTAATATAACTCCTACTCTCTCTCACGTTTATCTCTCCATTCACACGCTCAATCTATCTGCCTCTTTCATATAACAAGTTCTTCACACTTGAAGAACTCACACGAAAATATAATAAAACAAGCTTAGGGAACAGGTTAGGCAAAGAGAGGGTTTTCCCGTTGAAAGTTTTGTGTTGAAAACTTGGCTTGGATGTCAGTTTTGGAGAGGGTTTGGGAAGCAACTTAAAAGTTTGAATGTCAAAATAAGGTATGGGTTTTATTCTCTCTTGGTCCCTTTTCCAAGAGACCCCTTAAGGTTCACATTATTCATTCAAAACCTAGAAATTTTTCCCCCTTTCCATGCCCCTGTCACTAGCTCCCAATGAATCGTAGGTTCGGTATGATTGATGGTAGATTTAGGTGTATGTTATGTTTTCGTAATGAATATGATTATGATTGTGTACTTGAAATCGTATGAAAGACAACCATGCATTCGAAATTACGTGCAAGTGTGTATGTGTGCAAGTATGTTACTGTAAATGAGTTTCTTCGGTAAAGTCTTCAAATTTGATAATGTTTTGGCTGTCATTTTACGTTAATAAAGCTATGTAAATTGTGATTTTGATTAAAATGGAAGTGTGGCTGATTTGAGTATCAATATTTTGGCTAAAAGAATCTATGATAATACACCCCAAAAAGTGTTAAATGATCTATGAACTTCCCTAAGATTTCAAGTTAAAATGCTGGTGAAAAATAAGCTAAAAATGACTAAATTCCAGCAAACTTATTTGAATTTAAAGGGATGAGGCCACTAGGATTTGAACTTGTGACATCATCCGTACACTGCCTTAAAATCGCAAAAAGGGAAATGGGGTCAATGGGAATCGATATGGGGTATGTTGGCTGAAAATGTAGAGTACAAAAATTTAAATAAAATGGAAGGCGTGGGAATCAAAACCACGACCTCCAAGCATCAAGTGAAGTGAAAGAAAAATAAAAGAAAGGAAATGTTAGGCGTGGGAATTGAATCAACGACCTCAAGGCTGTGAAGGAGAGAAAAAGAGAAAGGAAAAATTAAAAAAATAAAGTGAGGTTGTGGGGGTCGATCCCACAACCTCACTGTTAACGCATAGATAGTCAACATTTAAATAAAATAAAATACGGAGTTTGTGAGGGTTCGAACCCACAACCTCTTAGTCCCGAACGAATAAAAGAAAAAAATAAAGAGAGGTTGTGGGGGTTTCATCCCACAACCTCTTGGTTAATGAGAAAAGGGCAAGGAAAATAGATAGGAAAAAAAAGGGGTTTGTGAGAGTTCGAACCCACAACCCCTCGGCCAAAGGAGAGACTAAACAAAAGTAACTCAAAAGAAATGTTGATGTTGGGGATCGATCTAGGGTCCCAAGGTCATTAGGACTAAAAATAAAATTAAGGAAAAATGTAAGTCTTATCAAAGGGATTCAAACTTGGGTTCCCTTGCTCAAGTTTCTGTATTGATACATAAATCATACGTGAAAAAAATATTCAAAAATAATGCGACCTAATTATATCGAAATCGAGATCTTTGCATACATACAAGATACATAAGTCTTGAACTACATAATCTTAGGAATATAAGTCACTTAACAAACTATTAATAAAGCTTCATGGCTTGTATGTATAGACCCATAAGTGTAGCATATGATTAAAAACAAGTGAACCTAAGATGTACGTAATGAAATAATAAAGCCCTAGAAGGGTTAAGTACAAGTGTAAGATACACTAAATGGCCAAGTGCATTGGCACATGACGAAATGAACAATGAAACGATGAAATTAAAAATGAAATGATGAAACCGTAAAAGGGTTAAGTAAGAGTGTGAAACACACAAATGACAAAGTTCATTGGCATATGATGAGATGAACATTCATGTAAAAAGGGGTGATTAAATGCTGATGAATGTTGTGACAACATGAAATGAGGCTAATGTAAATGATGAGAGCAATATCAAATGAGCCTAAGTATATGAAACCAAAACGTACTCACCTATTAGAGTGTAAAGTTAATGAAAAGACCTGTCTCTATGAACACTTTAATGAAAGTATTCATATTAACACACTTAATACTAACTATGAGAAGAGAAATCATCTATTGTTCTATGATTTACTCATACTAGAAGCCAACTTCCATGACGTATGAGTTAAATGTAATGGAACTTTATAATGAGCACCGATAGATTATCTATGGGCGGTGATGCCTTCTTTAGGAATGGGAAGAGGTTCACGTAACTACTATTAGATGAGACTGTCTGGCATGACACGTATGAGTATCTTTATATATCCTAGTCTTTGAACCAATACTCCCAATATAGGGATTTGGCGTGGTTGAATTCCTATGTACGCTAGCATGTTTTGGGTCACTTTGGCATGTGATTCCACCTCCTTTCGGTGTGGGGGAGACACTGGATTTCATGATGATCACATTATCTATATCGGTTAAAGTTAAAGTTCCAAAAAAATGAATGTGTCCATCCAAAAACGATGCACATAATGAAATGAACGATACCAAATGTGTTAGGATAGGATAATCAAGAGGTGAGCTAGACTCAAGTAATGTCACTAGGTTATTCTTGATTATTGCACAGCAAACCCGAGAAAGTCTTAAACTACATCCTAGGTATAAGTGGTGTTCACATTAGCCTATAAAAGGAATGAAATGAAACACGTATGAATGAATAAAGCAGACTCTGTGTTTGCTAAATAAGGCTCCCTAGTTGAGGTCCCATATGTTGAGCCCTCATTTTGGGAAGTTCTAACGTCAATTCCGTGATCCCAAGGTCTCATGGCTTATATCTAAACTGTAATGATATATGAAATATATTTTGTGCTGTTTGAAAAATGATAAGTTTGATGATGCATGTTATCCTCATGGCATAACTTTCCAAATTTAAATTTGGTAGGTCCACTGAATTTCCCAATTAATATTTAGCAAGTTTGCTAACTTGACTTTTCATAAATGATGTTGTTAGGAAAGAGCTATTACTTCTCATACATGTCCTTGGTGTGTGGGCATATACCCATACTTAGCACAAGTGTGTACTAATTCCATACGAATATATACTTTTAGGTGCAGGCACAAGTGGATGTTAGAACTTACAGTACGACGTTGCTGCTATACGGACGTGGAGCTTTCATCTGGACTTGGTAGGCCCTCATGCTTTTGAGGCTGTCTACTGTTATTATCTATCTTAGATGTAGGCTTTATCTAGTGGAGCATGTTCACTAGTGTTTTATTTCCCATTTCATTTCATACTTTGTATTGGTTCCTTTTTTGGCAAGTATACATTTAATGCAGCTACGAACTAGTTCTTTCATTTGATGATCCTAATGTTAGATGAATGATGGTGAACCATTATACATGTAATGAAATGTTTAGTAATCATGTTAGGAAACAAAAAGTTTCAAATTTTCTGGAAAAATTAACCTAGACGAACTAAGAATGACGTAAGTAGGCTTGTCTGCGACCTCTGAGAGGTCAACATTGCCGGTCATGTCTAGGGTCTAGACTAAGGTCGTGAAAAAGTTGGAATCAGAGCCCTAGGTTAAATTCCAAATATGGTAAGTTCACATCAACCACATTAAGTAGTTTCTAATTCATAATAGAGAAGTGCACCACTATCCTTAATCATAGACTACATGATTGGTGGGAATATCTCCCTTTTTCTTATCTTATCGCGCCTTTCCTAATGTCTGGTTTCTTGTGTTATGCGCGTGTCTAACATCAGCTCCTGGTGTTTACATAGAATGAACACTAGAAGAACTATTGGTCAGAGGAGAGGATAGTAGTTGCTGGGAACAATCAGGTTCCACCCTAGGTTCCAACTGAAAGACTGGCTATGCCAGTTAACCCAACTGCATTGACTAATGCGTAGGTGTGGGCATTTCAGGGTTAGATGGCACAGGCCATCACTATGCATGCTCAAGACATGACTGCCCAGGTCAACCGGCAGAATGTTGAGAGGGAGAACCCACCTGTGCGTAGCATGGCTGACAGGCTAAGAGACTTCACGAGGATGAACCATTCTATTTTCACAAGGTCTAAGAGTACAGAGGATCCCTAGGAATTTGTAGATAAGGTGCATAAGATTTTTGTGGCCATATGTGCCACAGATACTGAGAAAGCAGAGTTGTTTAAGACAACCTTCCAGGAGAGATTTTTCCCTAGGGAGATAACGGAGCCCAAGGTTGAGTTGTTTATCAACCTTAAACAGGGATTGATGACAGTCAGGGAGTATTCCCTGATGTTTGTGAAATTATCCTGGTATGCCACATCTCTTCTGTCTAACAGTTGAGACGAAATGAGTAGATTCTTAACATAAATTGTTAAGGATCTCGAGGAGGAGTGTAGGGCAGGTATGCTGCATGATAGCATGGACCTTTCCAGGCTTATGGTCCATGTCCAGCAAATGGAGTAAAGAAGAAAGAGGAAACACACTTGGGCAGGGTACAAGTCAAGGCAAGCAGAGGAAAATTTTGAAGGAAGAGTAGTACTGAAATAAGGGATAAGCCCAATTTTAAGAAGGGACTCCTCAACCAAGGGGAGTCAAGTTCATCCAAGAGTCACCATGATGGGAGTTCCGAGTCTATAGTTAACAGAAACAATGAAGTAGATACACCTCAAGTGAGACCACCTTGAAGAAAGTGTGGCAAACTACATCGAGGAGAGTGTATGATGAACAATGCTTGTTATAGTTGTGGCAAACTGAGTCACGTGGTGAAGGATTGTTCGATTAGTAGAAGTCAAGAACAAAGGAAGGATAGAATTCAGTCCAATGGTCCAAGTGAAGAGGATCCAAGGAGGCAACGATTCTTCGCACTCAAGTCTAAGGGTGCAGGGGAAGGCACTTCTGCTGAAGTCTCGGGTGAGTAGCCTTAATTAGTCCTTCATATATTTGATTGTGTATGGTGTTTATGCACTAGTATGAGTTTAATATATTTGAGTCATCATGTTTGTTGCTGATTTATATGACTGATATGTTAATTTATATTTTATGCTTTGATAAGACTAGTTTAGGAAAGAGTTGCTTCGTCTATTAATGTGAATCTACTTGTAGGTTTCAAGGATGTTCACCATCATCTTATATGTGAATCAGGTATTGACCAATGGGGAGTATTTAATTACCTATATATGCATACGTACTATAGATGACTTACTTATTGTTAGTAAAGAGTAGTGTCATTCGGGGACGAATGTTCCTAGGGGGGGGGGGATTATGTAACAACCCTATAAAATGGATATACTAAGTGATACTTAATGTGTCAAGAATTCCTATGATTAGACCAAGGTTCACACAGATTGATGCGTGTAGAACCAGACTTCGGAACCCTTGCTACATCTAAGACAACTAACTAGGGAAGTTAGTTGAGCTAGGAAACGTTGGGTCCAACTATGTAGGGCTCTCGAATATGAAGATTTACTTGAAGGAGTTTGTACAGGATTTAAAAAGACGAAATCTAAGGTTTGGAGGGTCTAGGGGTAAAATGTTAATTTTCTAGGCTAAGGGTAGTATCGTAATTACCCTAAATATATAATTAATTATTTAATTAAAAAGATGGAGGGGCAATTTGGGGAGAGAGAGCCAAAGTTGAGCTCTGGAAGAAAGGTCTTGCTTCACCCTGGTTCGAACCTAGGTGAAAGCAATGAATTAATGTGATTTTTATTTAAATTATTTACTTAATATAATTAATTAATAATTATTATTCATTATCTGATTTAAAATAAAATAAAAATCTGTTTTTTAATAATTAAGAAAACCTTATTAGACTGAGTCCTAAACTAGAATCCTAAGCCTAATATAACTCCTACTCTCTCTCACGTTTATCTCGCCATTAACACGCTAAATCTATCTGCCTCTTTCATAAACCAAGTTCTTCACACTTGAAGAACTGACACGAAAATATAAGAAAACAAGCTAAGGGAACAGGTTAGGCAAATATAGGGTTTTTCCGTCGAAAGTTTTGTGTTGAAAACTTGGCTTGGACGTGAGTTTTAGAGAGGGTTTGGGCAGAAACTTAAAAGTTTGAATGTAAAAATAAGGTATGGGTTTTCTTCTCTCTTGGTCTCTTTCCCAATAGACCCCTTAAGGTTCATATTATTCATTCAAAAAAATTGGAATCTTTTCCCCTTTTTCATGTCCCTGTCACTGGCTCCCAATGAATCGTAGGTTTGGTATGATTACTGGTAGATTTAGGTGTATGTTAATTTTTCTTGATGAATATGATTATGATTGTGTACTTGAAATCGTATAGAAGACAACTATTCATTCAAAATTACGTCCAAATGTGTGTGTGCGCAAGTATGTTACTGTAAATGATTTTCTTCGTAAAGTCTTCAAATTTGATAATATTTTGGCTGTCATTTTACGTTAATAAAGCTATTTAAATAGTGATGTTCGTTAAAATGGAAGTATGGCTGATTTGAGTATCAATATTTTGGATAAAAGAATCTATGTAAATGTACCCCGAAAAAGTGTTAAATGATCTATGAACTTCCCTAAGATTTAAAGTGAAAATGTTGGTGAAAAATAAGCTAAAAATGACTAAATTCCAGCAAGCTTATTTGAATTTAAAGGGATGAGGCCACCAGGATTTGAACCTGTGACCTCATCCGTACACTGCCTTAAAATCGCAAAAAGGGAAATGAGATCAACGGGAATCGATATGGGGTATGCTGGCTTAAAATGTAGAGTACAAAATTAATGAAACAAAATGGGAGGCATAATCTCCAGGCAGCGAGTTAAGTTAAAGAAAAATAAAAGGAAGGAAATGTGTGGCGTGGGAATCGAACCCACGACCTCAAGGTGTGAAGGAGAGTAAAGGAGAGAGGAAAAATAAATGAAAATAAAGTGATGTTGTTGGGGCTCGATCCCACAACCTCACTGGCAATGCATAGATTGTCAACATTTAAATGAAAATAAAATAAGAAAGTTGTTGGGGTTCGAACCCACAACGTCGAATAAAAGAAAAAATAAAGATAGGCTGAGGGGTTTGATCCCACAACCTCCTGGTTAATTCGAAATGGGCAATGAAAATAGATAGGAAAATAAAAGGGGGTTGTGGGGGTTCGAACTTGGGTTCCCTTGCTCAAATTTCCTTATTGATACACAAATCATACGTAAATTCAATGTTAAAAAATAATGCAACCTACTTATAACAAAAATCGAGATCTTGGCATACATACAGGATACATAAGTCTTGTACTACATAATCTTAGAAAAATATGAGTCACTTAACAAACAATGAATGAAGCCTCATTGCTTGTATGTATAGACCCATAAGTCTAGCATATGATTAAAAACAAGTGAACCTAAGATGTATGTAATGAAATAATGAAACCCTATAAGGGTTAAGTACAAGTGTAAGAAATACTAAATGGCCAACTATATTGGCATATGACGCAATGTACAATGAAATGATGAAATGAATAATGAAACGAGGAAACCCTAGAAGGGTTAAGTAAGAGTGTGAAACACATAAAGGTCCAAGTGCATTGGCATATGATAAAATGAACATTCACGTAAAAGGGGTGAGTAATTATGAAGAGAAAATGTGCTAATGTTGATTAATGTGGTGACAACATGAAATGAGGCTAATGTAAAAGATGAGGCAATCTCAAATGAGCCTAAGTAAATGTTACCAAAACGTACTCACCTAATAGAGTGTAAAGTTAATGAAGAGACAAGTCTCTATGAACACTCTAATGAAAGTATTGAGATTAACACACTTAATACTAATGCTAATATGAGAAATAATCTATTGAGCTATGATGTCCTCATACTAGAAGCCAACTTCCCTGAAGTATGAGTTGAATATTATGGAACTTTATACTGAGCACTGATAGACTAGCTATGAGAAATGATGCCTTTTTTGGAATGGTAGAGTTTCACGTAACTCTCATAAGATGAGATTGTCCAGCATGCCAGGTATGGGTCTCCTTATATCTCCTAGTCTTCGAACCTATACTGCCAATATAGGGATTAGGCGGGGTTAAATTACCATGTACGATAGCATGGTTTAGGTCACTTTGGCCGGTAATTCCACCACTTTTCAGTGTGGGAGAGACACTGGATTTCATGATGCTCACGTGATTTATGTCGGTTAAATATAAAGTTCCCAAAGAATGAATGAGGCCAACCTCAAATTGTGCACATAATGAAATGAACGATATCAAAGGTGTTTGGATATGATAATCAAGAGGTGAGATAGACTCAAGTAAAGACACTAGGTTATTATTGATCATTGCACAGTAAACCCGATAAAATCTTAAACTACATCCTAGGTATAGTTGGTGTTCACAGTATCCTTTATACGAAAGGAAATGACGCACATATGAATTAATGAAGCACAGTCTGTTTTTGCTAAAGAAGGATCCCTAGTTGAGGTCCCTTATGTTAAGCCCTTATTTTTGGAAGTCTTAACGTCAAGTCCATGATCCCAAGGTCTCATGGAATATGAAAGAATGATATAAACTACGTGATATGATATGTGAAATATGTTATGTGCTGTTTGCAAATTGATAAGTTTGATAATGCATGTTACCCTCATGGCATGACTTTCCAAATCCAAATTTGGCAGGTCCATTGACATTCCTAATTCAAATTTGGCAAGTCCACTGACTTGATTTTCCATAAATGATGTTGTTAGGAAAGAGCTATTCCTTATCATGTATGTCCTTAGTGTGTGCTTGCATATACCCATACTTATTACAAGTGTGTACTAATTTCATACAAATATCTACTTTTAGGTGCAGGCGTAGGTGGACTTTAGATCTTACAATACGATGTTGCAGCTATCCAAACGTGGAGCTTTCATCCGAACTTGGTAGTCCCTCATGCTTTCGAGGCTGTCTAATGTTATTATCTAGATTATATGTAGGCTTTAGCTAGTGGAGCATGTACCACTAGTGTTTCATTTCCCATTTCATTTCATACTTTGTATTGGTGCACTTTTTGGCAAGTATACATTTAATGCAGCGACAAACTATTTCATTCATTTGATGATCTTAATCTTAGATAGTTTATGGTGAATCATTATACATGTAATAGAATATTTACTAAGCATGTTAGGAAAGGAAAAGTTTCAATTTTTCCACAAAAATTAACCTAGACGAACTATGAATAACGCAAGTACACTTGTCTGCGACCTCTAAGATGTCAACGACGCCGTTCTCTTCTACGGACTAGACTCTGGTCGTGGCAATGTTTGTATCAGAGCCCTAGGTTAAATTCTGAAGATAATAAGTTCACATCAACCACATTGATTAGTTTCTAAGTCATGGTAGTGAAGTGCACCACTATCCTAAATTGGAGACTACATTATGCGTACAAATATCTCCCTTCTTCTGATCTTATTGTGCCTTTTCTAATGTATGATTTATTGGTGTTATGAGTGTGTGTAATATAAACTCCTATTATTTACATAGAATGAACACTAGGAGAACTATTAGTCAGAGGAGAGGAGTAGCTGCGGGGAAAAATAAGGTTCCACCCCAGGCTCGAGCTGAAGGAGTGGCTATGCCGGTTAACCCTGCTAGGTTTACTGATGAGGAGGTGTGTGCATTTCTGGACCAGATGGCACAGGACATTACTATGCAGGCCCAGGCCATGACTGCCCAGTTCAACCAGTAGAATGTTGAGAGGAAGAACCCACCAGTGCGCAGCATGGCTAACAGGCTGAGAGACTTCACGAGGATGAACCCTCCTATTTTTACAGGGTCTAAGACTTCAGAGGATCCCCAGGAGTTTGGAGATGAGGTGCATAAGATATTTGTGGCTATGGGGGCCACATATACTGAGAAAGCAGATTTGGCTTCCTATCAACTCAAGGGTGTTGCAAAGACTTGGTGCAAGATGTAGCATGATAGCCAAGCTTTTGTCGGAGTTCCGGTCACTTGAGAGCTATTTAAGAAAGACTTCCTGGAGAGCTTTTTCTCTAGCTTTCCCTATGAAGGTACTTTTGGTCAGTTGATTAACTGTGAAAAAAGTCACCTCACGATTCATCAAATTGTGTTTGACACCACAAAGAAAGAATTAAAAGGATCACAAGGTTTAAACAAAGGCAAGGGATTACCGATTGCCTGGGATTTCCATTCTTTGTGGGTATTTCTGGAGATATTTTTCCCTAGATTTCCCTATGAAGATACTTCTGGTCAGTTGATTAACAGTGAAAAAAGTCACTTAATGATTCATCAAAATGTGTTTGACACCACAAAAAAGAAAATTTAAAGGATCACTGGGTTTAAACAAAGGCAAGGGTTTACGAATTGCCTGAAATGTCCACTCTTTCTGGGTAGGCCCATGATTTTCTATTTTTATGACCTTATTTATAAAGTTATTTGCAAGATTACACAGTCGTAAACAAAGCAATTAAACTATGGTGGAAGAGATGTGTTGATTAAACATGTTATTCAAGCCTTACCTATTCATTTAATCTCAGTTTTAACCCCCCTACTACTGTAATTAAGAAAATACAAATGTTGATGGTAGAATTCTTTTGCGGCTGGAAGAGTGACAAAAAGAAAAATCACTGGGCTTCCTGGAGGAACCTTAGCTATCCTATTGATGAAGGAGGGGTGAGAATGAAAAATCTTAAAGATGTATTCTTCGATTTCCAATATAAACAGTGGTCAAACTTTAGAGTTAAACACACATTGTGGTGAGAATTCGACAATGCAAAATACTGCCAAATATCAAATCCTAACTGAAAAAATGGGAATTTAGGGATTCACTGATTTTTAAAATATATGATTAAGAATAGGAGTAAGGTGGAGCAACATATTCATTGGATGTTGAACTCGGAGAATTGTTCCTTTTGGTGGGACAACTGGATTAGAGAAGGTCATATTGCTCAATGTTCTAACTCTAGCCACAGGTTTGACACGAGGAAAGTAGCTAACTTTTGGGTAGAAGGTCAGTGGAACTATCAAATGCTTGTTCAACAGGCACCCCCTATCCAACTTGCCAATATCTTAGCAGTTTCAATTCCTCAGCATCAATCTCCTGACCAAACATATTTGAAAATAAATCCCAATGGAATATTCACATGTTCTTTAGCATGGAATGAAATCAGGGAGAAAAGACCCAAGGATCAATTTAGGGCTCTTATTTCGATGAGCCATACACCTTTTAAAGCCTCTTTCCTTCTTTGAAGAGCTTTAAATGTAAAGCCTCCTACTAATGAGAGATTAACTAAATTTGGTGTAGAACCTTGTAACTATTTTTGTTGCAAGAGCAGGACAGGAGTAGATACAATTAACCATATCTTTAACAATGGATATCTTCCTAGAGATGGTTTGCAAAAAGAGTAGGGGTAGAAATTGATTAGAACTCACTGAGGCAAATTGTATCTCAATGGTGGTCAATGAATAACAACAATGAAGCTCATAAACGCATCGTCCAGGCCTCCCAATGCTTATGTGCTTTTATTTATAAAACATAGACGTACTTATAAATATGGAGGCAAAACCCCTAGTGGCACAAGGGTCAGGTATGCAATTTATAGTGCTAATTATAAGCTTATAAAATCTATTTTTCCTCAGGTTAGCTGGCCACCTACTTGGAGTGAAATAATCTAATTAGATAAAACATGTATCCATGTGACAAAGGTACAGAAGATAGCTTAAACAAGACCACCGGATGAATGGATAAAATTTAATACAGATGGAAGTGTGATTGAGAATCCAAGCAAGATAAGGGCAGGAAGTATAAAAAGAGTACATGAAGGCAAGCTCATATAAGCATTTACCTCACCCCTATGAAGTGGTACCAACAATCAAGCAGAAATAGGAGTAGATATCTTTGGTATCTATTGGGCTTTGGAACTTGCATACGGGAAGATCATATTGGAAATGGATTCAATGCTAGCACTCAACTAGATACTCCAAAAAATAATCCTCAGTGGAGCATTTGCAATCAACTAGACAAATTGAAAGGCCTCATATCTCAACTACATGAATTCAAATGTACTAATGTTTACAGGGAAGCTAATTGGGTGGCTTATGCATTGTCCAATCATAGACACAAAATTTCTTGTCCAAAAATTTACTATAATAATCAAGAGTTACCTAAGGAGGCAAAGGAATATTTTCATTGGACTTAATAGAGATGCCAAGCTTTAGAAGGAAGAAAACAAAGAAGATCAAAAAACCTCCTTAAACATTCTACGAACTTTTCTAGTAAGCTATAACTCACAATATAGATTCTTTGAATAGTTTAAGATGATAGATTGATTAATTTTTGAGATGTAAAGGGAGAGTCTCCCTAATTTATGTTTCCTAGATTCTATGTATTGAGAGGAGTCCTCTCTTGTAGGTATATAGGAGCTTTGGATTCATCTTATTGTAAGGTGAGGGTTAAATATCTTTAGGAAATTGAACCCAAAAAACCATGGGAATAGAACTAAGGTTTATTTCCCCCTCTTTGTACATTTTTTTTTTGAAATGGTAAGGCCTGGGGTGTTACTTAGCCCCTACCCATCTAAGGGTATTAAAATAATAAAAAAAGGCCAAAATACCAAAATCCAAACATGAAACACTAGACCATAAATGCTAAACCCCATGCCAAAAATTCAAAAATCCAAAAATAAAACTCTAAATTAAATATATAAATCACAAATCCTAAGCACCACACCCTAAAATCTAAAAAAAAATTCTAACCCTACCCCTAATCGTAAACCCTAAACTCTAAACCCCAAGACCAAAATACAAAAACACAAACATAAAATTGAAAACACTTGATATTTAACCTCAAATCCTAAACTCCAAACACTATAACCTATAAAAAAATTCCTAATATCTTACCCTAACCCTAACTGTAAGCTTAACCCTAACCTTATCCTTAAACCCCATACCGTTAACCCTAAACCCAAGCCAAAAATACAAAAATCAAATGTTGAATACTAAACCATAGATATTAAACCTCAAATTCTAAACCTAAAACCTAAAAAAATACTATAGACGAAACCCTAACCATAACTCTAACAACAAAACCGAAAACCCAATCTCAAAATATCATAACCCAAATATTAAGAACTAAACCATAGATTTTAAACCTCAATTCCTAAAACAAAACACAAACACTAACATGAAACCCTAACCCTAACTCTTACCCTAACAATAAACCCTAAACCCTAGACCCAAATCCCAAAATAAAAAAATCATAGAATGAAACACTAGAACATTTATATTAAAACTCAAATCATTCACCCTAAACACTAAACTCTAAAAGAATACTACACCCTAACCTTAATATTAACCCAAAACTTGCCCCTAAACCCTAAACCCCAATCCAAAAATACCAATACTCAAAGATTAAACACTAAACCATCGATATTTAACCTAGTCCTAAACCCCAAACTCTAAAACCTAAACAAAAAACTAAACCCTAAGTTTAAACCTAATTTCTAAATCGAAATCTAAAATTATCAAAACCCAAAAATTAAACACTAAATCATAGATAGTAAACCTTATATCCTAAACCCGAAACCCCAAAACCTACAAAATCCTAAACCTCTCCTAAATCCTAAACCCTAAACCCCAAACCCAAAATATGAAAACCCAAATTTGAAACACTAAAATAGAGATTAACCCACAAATTCTAAGCCACAATCCCTATAATATAAAAAAACTAACTCTAACCCTTACCCTGATCCTAAACCCTAAGACCTAAATAAAAAAACACAAACATTAAGCACTAAACCATATATATTGAACCTAAAATCATAAACCCCAAACACTAAAACCTATAAATGAATCCTAATATCTAACCCTAAACGTACCTTTAACTCTAACCATTATCCTTATCCTAATCCTAAACCATATACCCTGAACCCTGAACCTTAAACCCCAGCCCAAAATAAAAAAAAACAAACATTAATCATTAAGCCATCCTAAATCCAAAACCCTAAAACCTAAAATTAATAAACACTAAAACCAAACCATAAACCCTAAAACCTAAAAGCTAATCCAAAAGAATTAAAACCCAAAGATTGAACACTAAATCATAGATTTTAAAGATTATATCCTAAACCCCAAACCCTAAAACCTTAAAAAAATAAACCTTTATCCTAACCCTAACCCTTAACCTAATTCTAACTTTAACCCTAACCCTAACCCTAAACCCTACACCCTAAGCCCAAAATACTTAAACCCAAATATTAAACTCTAAACTAAAGATTTTAAACCTCAAGTCCTACACCCAAACACTAAAACCTTAAAAAACATTAAACCATATCTTTTAACTAAACCTTAACTCTAACCCTAACCCCAAATCGTAAACCCTATATCCAAAATAAAAAATACAAAAATCCAAACATTAAATACTAAACAATAGATTTACAACTTAAATCATAAAACCCCAACCCTACAACCTAAAAACCCTAAACATAACCTTAACCCTAACCCTAACCCTAACCCTTAACGATAAATGCAAAACCCACAGCCGAAAATGCCAAAACCTAAACATGGAACACTAAAAGATATTAATCCACAAATCATAAACCCCAAAGCCTAAATTCTATATAAACTAAACTCTAACCCTAACCCTAACCCAAAACCCTAAATCATAAACACTAAACCCCCAGATTAAAATGCCAAAACATAAATATTAAACACTAAACCATAGATATTGAACCTCAAATCCTAAATATCATACACTAAAACCAATAAAAACTCCTTAAATCTAACGCTAACACAATCACAACCCTAAGCATATCCTTAACCCTAAACCCCAAGTCAAAATACAAAAAACAAACATTAAACACTAAACCATAGATGTTAAACCTCAAACACTAAACTCCAAACAATAAAGCCTAAAAAACACTTAACACAAAACCCTAACCACTAATCCTAAATACAAAGTCCCAATCTCAAAATACCATAACCCAAACATTAAGCACTATACCATAGATATTAAACCTCACATTATATAACAAAGAAAATACTAAACACGAAACCGTAACCTTAACCCCAACCCTAACCCTGACCCTGACCCTAAATCCTAAACTCTAAACCCTAAACCCTTAACCCAAAGCCCAAAATACCAAAACCAGAACATTAAAAGCTAAATTACAGATATTATAACTCCAATCCTTAACCCTAAACCCTAAAATAAACACAAACCCTAATTCTAACATTTACGTTAACCCGAAACCTAACCCTAACACTAACCCTAACCCTAACATTAATCCTAACCCAAACCATAAACCATACACCCTAAATCCCAAGCCTAGAATTCCAAACCTCAAGCATTAAACCCTAAACAATAGATATTAAACCTCAAATCCTAAACCTCTAACCCTCAAATCTAAAAAAAAACTAAACCCTAACCCTAATCCTAAATCCTAAAGCCAAAGCCAAAAACCAAAAAAAAAACCTTACCTAACCCTAACTCTAACTCTCACCATTAAACCCTTAAAAACTAAACCCTAAACCCCAAGCACCAAATACCAAAACTCTATCATTAAACACTAAACAATTGATTATACAACTCAAGTCATTAACCTCTAAAAACTAAACCCCAAAAAACCCTAAACCCTAAACCTGAACACTAAACCTAAACCTAATTCCCAAAATATAAAAACCCTAAAGCATATATATTTGTAACCTGTCGTATTCTATGTGAAATAGTTTATTTATATGTCGCTTAAAAATATCCTTGTGTTATGGACTCGGTTTCCAATGTGATTAGTGACAATAGAATATGTTTGAATTTATAATACCCCATGCCTTCCAACACATAAAAAAATAATTGAACTAACAAAATCAATTTGAACTCGATATTCGATATAAAAGTCAAAGTGCTCAAGTGTGTATTTTGTTCTACAATCTTGTAAAGAATTTAAGATGGGGAAAATGGTGTAATGTAATTCAGGTTCTTGCTTGACTAAACTATGCTAGTAGGTGACAAGTAGGTGATGCACCTACTCGGAATTAGTGGACTGTATTTTATGTGAAAAAGGCCAAGTAGGTGATGCATCTAATTAGAATAAGTGGAATAAATTTAAATGAAAAGATCAAGTAGCTGATGTAGATACTTAAAAACATGTGGCAAAAACTAAGAGGGTGATGCACTTTCTTGTTTAAAAGTAAAGGACATATTATTTCCCAATTTATTAAAGAAAAAATGTCCAAAATTTCCTCTAAATCATAAAGCATACATATATCCCTCATATTTTACTTATTCTACAAAAATTACTCCCAAGGAAAGCCATGGAAGCTCCAAGAGTTCGTTTCTACAGCTTCACCATTAAAATCTAAATGAAACGAGTTTTTCGAAAGTCCAATCTTGTAGAACATCTCCCATATTAAGGAATTCAAGTGAATAATCTTAATTAACATCAAAATAAGTTAGGAAGGACAACCTAAACCTTAAATAATCTAAGTATTGGCAAATGAGGTTTCTATCTAGCAATATAAATAATCTGAAAGAAAGTTGGTTAACTCATTTTGATATCAATTGTTGTGCAGCAATGTATGTAAGGCTATTTGCTTTCCTATTTCCTTGGCATGAATCCAATACTTGTAAGCTTTCTAAGTGCTCTTGGTAGTGACTGATCCATAAATTCAGTCTGTACTCCCTAGAGAATCATAATGAACACTCTACTATGAGTTTGTTAATATATGTGCATTTTTGCTCTACCAAGTGTTAGCATGTAAGGTTTAAACTTGATTCACTGTTAGAGTATCCCTGGCATGTATTTCCCTTATGTAAGTTAAAGTTGTCCTAGAATACACCGCGTACATCTGTTTATCGGATCGAAAGATGATCTGCCCATATCTTGCTAACATTCTTCAATAGTCTATTCAATCATATATGTCATCTTTTCACATGTTCATGTTCTCCTTTGTTGTTTATTACTCCAATTGTGTTAAGACTATTATGTTGCCTCCCAATTTTTCTACTTTCTCTATTGTACATTTATATGTATGTACTTGCTAGGAATATGTATCCGTCCTTAAGTTGAATTCGTCCACATTCTTCCTTGTTTGCAAATTCATGAATACATTGTCTTTGATATTAGTTGGTGAGAATTTAGTTATCAAATAGAGTTTAAATCTCTTGATGAAAAGTTATTTGCCTTCACTTCGTATGTGCTTCCATTAGAGAAGTCAAAAATTTCATACATAGTCATAGAAGAAGTATTATATTAGTGTCACATTTGCTTCCCACTTCATTGTTATTATTGTTAGTACATATTCGTATGTCTTATACTACTTGTTCATAGTTCCAAATATCAACAATCATTATAACCACAAAAACATCAATCCCAAATGCGTTATTATCAACAAAAAAACAATCTCAAAAGAGTTATGATTATTCGAATTACACATTCTCAAAAGTGTTATGAAATGATAAACAATAATCTCAAAGATGAAAAAATCTAATTGAAGGAATTTTTATAATTATGGGTGGTAGCCCAGGGGCAAAGCCTAACATGGGTCTATCCCCATTAGTATAAGAGTGTGGCAGCTCAGGGGAGAAAGCTTAGCATGGGCCGATCTTAATTGGTATGGAAGGGTGGAAGCTTTGGGGCAAAAGCCTAGCATGGGCCGATCCCAATTTGAGGAATTATGAGGACATCATACCAGGGGTTAAAATTCCTAGCATGAGTCATCCTCTGCTTCACTGATTAGATGATCATTTCTAGCATATGGTTTACAAAAATTATAACTCATAGAAAAGTAAAAAAAGGAATGTAACATACATAATTCCACAAGTATAAGCAAAGGTGGTCTCTAATCCTTATCTCTTGGTATTTCGTTTCACTTGAGCTCCCATGTCAAAAATAATTGTATTATGCCTTACATATTCAATACATTTTTTCATACATCAATTATTGTGGCGATGTATTTCATGGTGCATGTACAACAATTCAAAAGTAGGTCTCCTCAATATAAGCACATGATACTCAGTTGTTGTTAGTGAGCTCCAGGTTGATTCGAGGGTTTTTTGAGTATTTACTATACGTATTTTCAAAGCATGAATTCCATAGAGGGTTTGTAGACATTGTAAAGCAATCATATGTATTTATAGGTTCACTTGTCACATGTATCGGTTCAGTTAGTCAACATATGTGGTATATATAGATTTTAATCAGTAATCTGGATAATAGTTTACTTTCTCATCATTGGTTACTTTTAAAGCATGTATTCATAGGGTACTCATCCGCCTCACCTAGGGTTGGGATGTGAGAAAAGTTGTATTAGAGCCTTAGTTATAAATGTGGTGCACGCCACATTTAAAATTAGGGGGGTGCTTGGACATTTAGGAAAGTTACCTTCCTTCATAATCTTGATCCTGCAATGGAGCCAAGTTAAGAAAACAATTTCCAGTTGTACCAGATCATGCTATTCATATTAACTATGTTTAAGGTTAACAATTGTTAAAGTGTCAGAATGTGACATACAAAAAGAACCTTAAGTTACCAAAAGTTTGACAAGATTGATCTCATTTCATTTGACAATATCAGTTGTAATGGCTTTTATGTTATTTTCATAAAGTTGTATTGGTACCATTTGCATCATGTTGGTTAAAAAATGATATGTTGCCTAGTTACATATATTTGTTGTAGTATTTCTAGGTACATCTTCTTAGGAGGATGTAACCAACTCTTGAATTTTACATTTCCTCCATACTTACAGGATCTATTCCTATAGAGGACACTTTTTCTTAGTCTTTGAGATACATCGTTATCTCAGTGTTACACATGTTCTCAAAATTGATGTAGTTAAACAAGTTTCTCATTTATCAGTGCAACGGTGTTGCTATAGATACCCCTAATTGGCTGGCAAGGCTTAAATTATCACCATATGCTCTCCCGAGTATGTTAATATTTGGCATTTATATGGTATGTGCCAAAAATCTCGAATAAGTATTACTAACTTTTGTATTCTTTTCATGGGTATAAAACTTATGATAAGTGTGTCAATTACTGAAAATGATTATATGTATGGCAGTTCCTATTATGATATATGTTTTGGCTACAAAATCGGGATGTGACTAAAGGTTAAGGTTAACAAAAGGAAAATTGATTGGTTAGACCAAATTTGTAATTAGTCAGGTTATACATAGTGTGATCAGAGTGCATGAAGCTACTAGTTTTTATCAAAAGGTACTTGTTAGACAAGAATCACATGAGAATGAAATTTAGAGATGGAATATGTCAAATTCCCTAAAAATAGGAGTAGGATTTATATGATGATGCTATAGAGGAGTAACATAGGTGGTGATTTGACATAGTATTTCTAAGTGTATGAGGCAATAAAATGTTATCAATTCTTTTCAACTCTGACGACTTATAAAACTTCACCTGGAATAACTTTGTGAACCTTTGTTAGACAGACTAGTCAGTTTCGTATTCATTGAAGTCTTGATAAAAACAACAAAAAAAAGGTGAATAGAAAGGTTATTAGATAGAATATACATGGGCCTAGTTTATCCACATGATTAGTACAAAAGAGAGGTAGATCATAATACACATGTATAGACTTATATAAAATTGAATTGAGCAATTAGAGAATTCATTTAATATAGCATGCAGTAATTCATCAATCATAATCTAAGTTAGGGAGAGGAAAATTGATCATATGGTAGTTGTTATTATTTGCTATATTGCATGAGAAAAGAGTAGGAGCACCCTTACTTTTTAAAAAAAAAACCTATTTGTATGGCCAGACCTCTATCTAGTTAAGCCCTCTAAGATTTTATAAAACATGATATAACTTTATAGGTACCGGGCATATACATGTTATTAGTGTTCATGTTTTATGGTGCATTCAATCTTTACTAATTATTTTATATTTCGACCCTTAAAGGGAACAAGGCATTTAGAGTGTTATAATAGAAGTTAATAATCAAGGGAAAGTTGAACTCAGACTTCTACTCCAAAATGAACTATTGAGGATTTGCTTTTTCTATCTTAATTGGGGTATATTTATATTCACCTAGAGGGGAAGCAAAGCCCCAATAGCAGAACATCTATAACAATTCCAAAGAGATTGAAGAGTGTATATGCGGAAATCAACTGAATGTGCTTTTAGGTGAGTAAGGAATTGTACACTTTCTAGGATAACCTACTCTGATACCACTTTTTGTCACACCTCAAAAACAAATTAAGACGGATAGACACCCGATTCCATAAAGGCCAGAGAGAACCAACCTGCAACCTATTCTTACTTTGCATATAAATATAACAATTGGAAAGTTCACCTAGGATGCAGCGATACAAAACAACATAAGTAGGTCCAAATACTCAAGACACTATTGAACCATGTACATACGTCTACAAATCCTATAAAAGATAGCGTACGTCGAG